TTATCTTGCTGTTTTGTCTGCATTCAGCAATGCTATGTTCGTATCTCGGACAATAATTACACCATTTTTTGAATGATGGTTTATCTTTAAAGTTTGGATTTTTCTCTATTCAGAATTTCAGTGATTTTTTCGGATAAATCTGTTTCTGAATTTTTTACATTATTAATTTGTGTTGTTGTTTGGATATTATTAACATATTGTAATATGAGATTTTCTAGTTCTTCTAGTTTAATAGTGATTTCTGCCTGTTCTAGTTTATATACTAGTTTTCTAACATCTAAATCTGGCTCTCGAATTGAGGAGGGATGTGATGCTCTCTTTTTGATTGCTATTTTTCTTAATTGCGGTGCTAGAGTCATCATTAAAATTTCTGTCATTTGTGTGTTTTTATAATCTTGAGTGTGTTGTGAATATGATTTTCGGACTAGTGTTTCGATCCTTACTGCTAGTTGTTTGATCGTTTTGTTTGGTAGTCCACGAATTTCATTGCATAAAACTCTCTGACGTTGTTTGTTTCTTTCTGAATCAAACATTTTTGAAAATTCTTGTGTGAATCTTTTCCAGTCTGATTTTATTTCTATAGGTAAAAATAAAAACAATTTTTAAGATGCGCCATCAAGTCTGGTTTGTTTTAATGCTGTGCGTCTATGTATCCAATTTTGGTGAAGTGGTGTATTTAAGGGTTCAGGTTCCATATTCAAAAATAAATTTGCTGTAACAACCTTCTACAGAATATTCAGGGTCTGTGCCGGTGATTACCATCAAAAGTTTATTTGATGTTATTGAAGATCCACCCATTAGGTATGGATTCATAGTCATTTGAAGTGATTCTGCGGCATTTGGCGTTTGTGAAAAGTTTGTAAATTGACTTTTGGTGATTTCATGTTGTTGTAAATAATCAGGTAGTGGGATTTCCTTTTGCATTTGTGTTGATAATAATCTGTGTTAACTTGGTTTTGTATTTGTATTGGGTGATAGGGTTGTGTACTATTTGGGTTCTGCGTTTGTGATGGTTGGTGAGTTTGTGTAGTAGCTACGTTTTGTGGGTAAAAATTTGTAATTTGGGATGCTAATTTGGTCCAAGTTTTTCTACACGGTATTCCTGTGTATATGGTGCAAAAATATCTAGTTGATAGTAGTCATCATCATTTGATGATAAATAGTTAGGTGTATGATAAGGTGTATTGTGTTTACCTTGGACTTGTTCATTATTTTTATTCTGTTGAAAAAATGGATAATCTTCTTTTTGTTCTTATACAATGCGGGGGTAGTCATGAGAATTTACTGAAGTTGTCGTTGATGTGGAAAACTTTGTCATCGTGAAAATAAATGATTTTGTGTATTTGGGCTGAAGGTTTAGAAGTTTGTGGTCTATTTATATAGTTATAATTGTGTTCTGCAAAGTTATTTCTATTGAATTTTCTTTGTTTTTATATCGGTTTCATCATATCTAAATGGTTGATAGCTCACATGTTGGTATCTTGGTTCAATGGTGGGTTTAATTGTAGATTGTAGTGTTAACTAAGGTAGGATTGGATTTTTTGGTCTTGGAGTTGTAAGGTTTGGGTGTATTGGTGAGAAATTTTGTTGTGCTGTTGTTACTACTGTTGTAACTACTTCTTCATTTGTGAAATGTGATGATGTTTGAATATCTTGTTGAGTGAGGTTCCTAGTTCCATCTAGATTTTCTTGTTGAATGACAGTCGAATTTAAACTATTATTTCCTGTTCTACTGAGTAGAAACGAATTATAGTTAAAAGGTGTTGCATCAGTTGTGAGTGGGTATAACTTAACATAATCTTTGTTTATGGAAAATGTGCCAATTGCTTGACTTGAAATATCTGTTGGTATGTTAATGAATAATGTATGAGACCAGTCGGAGTCCCAAACGTAATCTGATTCTTCTGCTAATACCGAATCATCTGTTGAATTTTGGAGTCTGAAATTCTTTCTTGCTTGTGAGATTAAATCAAGATTATGTGTGTAATAGTCTATGATAAACCATGCTAAGATTTTTTGTAAATCGTGTTTAACGTTTTGTGAAACGTCGTTACTAGTTAAATTTTCACGGATTGTCAGTAAATTTTCAGAAAATATTGTAATTTCGTGTCTTACAATTGTATGTTTTGATGTTTGAACTGGTGAAGTTCCTTGGGATTCTGGTTTTTTAAATATAAATAGATAGCTATAAATTATTCGAAAAACTTCATTAGTAAATATTGAATTTGCTCTTTGCGAATTTTGGTGTTGTATATTTTTTATGTTTTCTGTGAATACCTTTGAGAATTCTATATCTACGTCGTCTGTTTGAAGTAGATATCTAACATGAAATTTACTTGGGGTCTGTAATTCTATGGTAGAGATTCCGAATTGTTGTGTTAGGTTACATGTTTCTTTGAGGTAGTGGTCGACAGTTTGTCATTTGATTTTTACTTCAGGAAATTCTGCTGTGCATGGACTAACTCCTCTTTTAAGTAAATTTGCTATTAAATTTTGACAAAGATTTGTTTGTCCTCTGTCATCTGCGAGGAAAGTAATTATAAATGGGAGGATGGAGTTTTCAATTTCACTTTCTTCATTTTGACTCATTTTTGTGCTTTATAACTGTTAATTTGTAACTTTCAATGTGTTTTATTGGTTGATTCCAATTGTACAGACGTACCGGTTTTTTTATATGTGTTTTTTATTCTACGTTTTTTGTACTGCTGATTGAGATGGGGTTCCTGAGTTTTAGGATGATGGATGCAATATTTGGATTAGTGATTTTCATGCTTAAATTGTTAGTTCTTACGATTTTTTGGTTAGCCTAACTTGGGTCATATATTTCAGGGTTGGAGAGAAAAGTGTATATCGATTCCTGAGAATGATTTTTACTTTCTCGTGACTAGTCTAAATTAAGGTGTTAACTTACTTAATCTTACTTAGGGGTAGTGATTGTGTTCATGGGTTGGAGAATAGTAAAATCGATCCACAAGGTTCAGCTATAACTAGAACGCAAGAAGTTCATTAGATACTATTATATTTTTACTAAGTTTAAGTATTATCCTTGGTCAGGTAAGGGGGGAATCAAGTGAAGGATGAGTAACCGAAGTTCGTCACTGTTGATCTCAATTGGAATGGTTAATATGATTTAAAAAAACTTCTATTAGTCCTGGGTCTTGAGAAAAGGTTGGGTAGTGAATCGACGTTTTAGGTCGTTAGACACTTTGCTAAATGTGTGGGGGAGAACAAAATTGTTCTATTTGATCCAAGGATAAGCCTTGATAATTAAAATACAAAATTGAAGAATTTAATTTAGTTTAAAAAGAATGAAATGAAGATCCAAGGAAAGCCTCGATGATCTGTGAAATTTAAAAGGTTTAATTTAAATTGACAACAAAAAAATTGGAAAGTTTTTTATAAACTAAGTTAAGCTTTATTTAATTAAAAAATTTGTGTTTTAGTCTTTGATGATGTTAGTGGGTTTATGATTTGCTTTTATGTTTTAGGTGATGAAGCTGAGATGAAGAGATGATTTATATACTGCTAACAATTTGTGTATTTACTAACTAATTTTTGTTTTTTATATTCAATAAACATTTTTTCTATATATCTTGTCAGATTTACTGCAGATTTAAGCAACGATTAGAGGTGTTTTTATCAATCGTTATTGTACAATAATAGGTTTAGCGCCTGTAATTTTTGGTCAAGATTTTTCTTTAAGATGCTATGTTTGCAAATGAAAATCTAAATTCATTGCTAATTAAACTCTAATTATAAAAGTTTGCGTTGATTTTTGCCCTACGACCTTGAAACTTATGGGTAAGTTCCGTTGTAGTCGTATATCGTATCTTGTCCGAGGTCTTTTTCCAATACCGGGTAGTTCTCGTATTGTTCGGAATAATGGCTCTGATCTATTGAGTCGTAGAGACATTTCAATTAAACTGTTGTCGTGTAACATTTTTGGGAATGTTTTTGTCTAAGTTCTAATCCATTTTTGGTTAGTTCTAAGATATTCTGTTCCTTAAGGTCTTATTCGAGACTTATGGTCGCACCAGATGAGTTTAGACGTGGAGGTCAACTCATAGAGTAATTTTGGATAGGGTACACCGTCTGCTCGTCACGCTATCTTATTTTCGGCCGGATAGATTCGTGCAACTTCTTAATCTAATACCGTGGGTAATAAGTGGGTTGTTAGTTTGATGGAGTGTGATTGGTTAGTTTTTAATATTTTACTGGGATAAAATATCTAATTTATAACCAATAATAATATATAGTTTGGATCAGGTTACAGTTTGTGATCGGCAAATCTCAACCTGGCATTCAATTCACAATTGTATACTACTTCTGTGTTCTGTTTTTCGTCGTCAGAGCTCTGCTAGTGTTTTCTTAAGTTTGAGTTATATCAGTTGTTGTTATTTTTATCCATTTTTTGTATATCATTTTTGTTCACTTGTGTGTTTATGCCTGAGCAGAAGTAAAGAGAATAATTTTCATGTGCGTGTATATATGTGATAATTTATTCATGATCTGTTCCTGATGTCCTTGTTGGTTCAGAGTCAGAAATATTCGAGCGGAGAGAGCGTGAAATTATTCAGAAAGAGAAATGAGCAGAGCAAGCCAATCAGGTGCAGTGCACATAAAATATAGCAATAAAGTGAAAGGGACCCCCTCTCTCAATGATTCGACCCCCTGCTTACCCAAATGGTCCCCCCTTTGTACTATTTTGAAATATCCGTTTTCAAAAATGGACCCTTAAAACTTCCCAATGGAGCTTTTGGGGTCAATAGATACTAATTTTGAACGCTATTTTTTGGTCATCATTTTCCAGTAACTGCCTAAAAACGCCTTTTTTGGCCTGTTTTTTTCAGATTTAGCTCACATACTTATTGAGACTGGAAAGAGGAGAAACAGAGATTGGCTTGCACGGAGGATAAAATGCAAATCCAAAGAGAACAACAAAGGAGCACATAAAAGTGAATCAGTTTAGAGTTTAGATTTACTTTGGGGGGGGGGGGGGGTCGAATAACAAACCAACTACTTCCACTCCACTCTCCAATACACTCCAAGTAGGAGACCAATATTATATGATGTTGGATGTAGATATGAAATAATAAGACACATTCGAATATGATTAAGATAAGCACCTCAATCAATTCCCGTGGCCGTAATTTCTCCTCAATAGAATAAGTAGCGGAGCCGCCGCTGTCTCCAAAATATGTTTTCCCTTTCGCTCTTTTTCTCTGTCTTCAACTTTATCAGCCTAAATGTGACATTTAGTTAGCCGCAGCCAACTTACCACGCCACCAAAAAAAAACAAACCGTGATTCAATATTCCCCTACAAACTACCATAATTGGTACATTTAAAGGTCAATTCAGCCTAAAAACTACATCAGAACATAGCTGCTTGCTTTCTATTAGGTGAGTAACAGTTTCCCGGTTTGATGATTTTGCTTCAACAGATCTACCGAAATTTGATAGTACCATCTGTATATAACAATTGAAAATTTTGAGGTTATGTGTCTAATTATCATTAATTCATTAATACGGTTCTGTACGAAATATAATGTGAAACAAAAATTGTTTCCGGTTGAACTGCAAACACTAAATGGCCAAATTGGCAACCTTTACACCCCAATTAATCTTTGAAAAATTCTAGCAGAAGAAACATTTTTTGAAAATTGCACTCAGGACAACAATAACTGACCACAGTGACAAAAATGGATGTAAATAGATAATTTACAGGAAATATACAATCTGTTGTAAATTTATATACTACAATTTCGATGATATGGTTTAATTTATCTAATATGATGCATTTTGTTTTGCAAATCTTTTTTGCTGTATGTCTTCTTTAAAAAACAACGACAGCTGGTTGATGTGCAAGTAGCAAAAAGCGTTCCTATCATTTTCATAAAAACTCTAAGTAATTGTTTTTCAAAGTATTATGCTTTTCGGATAATTGATGTTTTTAGTACATGGTGTGATGATAAAAACTAAACCTTAGTGTATCACACATAATCGACAACGGGTGTCTTCAAAAAAAACTAACAAAATAAAAAAAATCTAAAAAAAAACTTATAAAACTCGAAATGTTTCCTTTTTGATCAATATTTTGAAATGTTTGTCGAACATTTGAGTGGCAGGGAAGTGCCAAATAAAGCTTTCAAAACCAGTCTCCGTAGGGAAATTAAAATTTTATAGCCTAAATGACCAACTTTTTAAGTTATCATCACTTTGCTTGTTCGATAATAGAAGAAAAACCAAAAAATTCAAACCAGTTTTTCTCGCCAATGGGAGTTTTATAAGAAAAGTTTTAAATGCCGTTCAAATCATGACTAAAAGTTTTCAATATGAAATAACACTCAACGCAGTCCGGTAATTTCTTTGGTAGCAGGACTTCTATACACCTAAATCTGGCCATAGTTCACTCTCATCCCTTCATCCCTTCCGATATTCAATCAAGCCCCATTAATTGAGTAAGTAATTTACAGCTTTAAAAAGATTAGAATTATCGATTAGAATTCTGAAAAATTGGTAAAATTTCAGTTTGTTTTGAATGTTTTAGAACAATTTTGTTTGAAGTTTCGAGCCGTGCCACTATTTTTTGTCTGTGATCAAAGTATAATTAAAAATTTGCGGTTTCTTACAATATATTAATTTCAATTTTCGAAAAATGTGTTTCCCATTTCATATTTCAATTTCAATTTTTGGCAATTATATTTGTTGGAAAACTTGGAAAAATTTGAGATTAAGATTAGCTCAACTCAAAACAAAACCTAATTTTATTTTTTTGTTCATTGAACAAAGTTTTTTCTGGATTGAGTTGTCGAAACTCAAACGCTGACAATTGTATGGATACTAATACCCGAAGTTTTGCAGAAATTTTATTATATTCAGATACTTCTCAAATGTTAGTCGAAGCATTCCACGGATCAAGCTACTGCCCGGGTCGAGATTCCGCCCAAAAACTGCTCAAGATATGAGCGGTTTGAGCGGTTTTTCAGCAAGATTTGAGCGGTTTGAGCGGTTTGGTCAGTTTGGGCGGTTTGGGCGGTTTTTTTTGGAAAACCTCTCAAACCGCTCAAATCTTGCTTAAAAAACTGTTCAAAAACCGCTCATTTCTTGCGGTGATTTTTGAACGGTTTTTCAAGCAAGATTTGAGCGGTTTTAGAGCGGTTTTTGAACGGTTTATCTAAAAAAACCGCTCAAAAACCGCGCAAGATTTGAGCGGTTTGAGCGGTTTTTTTAGACAATTACGCTCAAAATCTTGCTTCAAAATGAGTGGTTTGAGCGGTTTTTGAATGGTTTATCTAAAAAAACCGCTCAAAAACCGCGCAAAAATTGAACGGTTTTGAGCGGTTTATCTAAAAAAATCGCGATAAACCGCTCAAAACCGTTCAAATATTGCGCGGTTTTTGAGCGGTTTTTTTAGATAAAATTGTTCAAAAACCGCTCAAACCGCTCATTTTGAAGCAAGATTTTGAGCGTAATTGTCTAAAAAAAACCGCTCAAACCGCTCAAATCTTGCTTCAAATTAGGTGAAAAATCTCGACTCGGGTGGTCAGACTATCAGAAAATGAGAAGCTTGATGAAAAACAAGAACAAGCTTGGAACTCAGTTTGCATTGTTAGTTTTCGTGAAAAATTAAATTTTTTTCTGACTGGTAGATAAATAAATATTTATTAGTGTTTCTCAATTTCCTTAAAAAAACCATAACCCTGAAAAAGTTTCTGTGTTTCAACGAAAAGCGTTGAAAGAGATGAATGAAAACTGTATGCCGAGCCTGTTTTACCGGACATTCAATGTAACTAAAAACAAACAACAAAAGTAGGACTAAATCAAGTTCGTCACAGAGAAATGCAAACAATTCAAAATTTTGTTATTGTCTCAAAAATTGCTCGGAAAACGTACTAACAATGAAGTAATTTCAATTTGGAGCAGATGTTTTTGTCTAAATGCTTTTGGAAATTACCAATTCTTTGTGTAAACGTTTTACTAAATCAGCATATTATTCAAGATTGCACTTTAGCAGTGAAAAAAGTTATATAAAAAACCTGCTCATACATAATAATAACCAGATTTCATACAAGAGAACTAAAAAAACACATCATTTTCTGAGAGTAAAACGCGTAAAAAACGTATCTGATGTCTTAATAAAAAAGAATCTTCAAATTGGTTACTGTTTTTTACAAATATGAAAGTTTTGTAAAAAGAAGATCGTTTACGACATATTCCTGCAATAGAATTGCGTAATATAATATGGTATTTGGTCTCATGTTTTATCTGGCTTTCAAAAGTCGAAATACACAGTTTCTAACCTCATGTGGTTTTATCGTTTGTTCTACACTCCAGCGTGTTCCTGAAGTTACTAAAGGTCTATTTGAAAGTTTCAATGCTGCCATTTTGATTGAATCTGTGTTTTTGATGTAGACGTTAGAAATTTTTTAACTCAACTAAACCATTACTGTTCCAAATCAATCCACTTCGCAGAAACCAGGTGTTCTGCAATCAAACAGTTCTGATATCCAGCACCAAACACGATTTCAGTATACACATTATTCGGCAAACAGTTTTTTAAATCGCAAAATTTTCTAAGCACCTATTCACGAAAAAAATTGTTCGCTTCAGTGGTCTTTCTTTCATTGATAATTGAAACTGCAAAACACATTGAATTCAAAAACTCGTCTTGAGATGATGTTTACTTTGGACTCTTTTTCTTATTCAGTTCATTGAATAGTGAATTGTTGATATAAATCGTGTTGTCAAAATTTGTTTTTTTTAATCAATTTTATCAAATAGACAAGCTTTTCCAATGAAATTTGATGCCTCTGCAATAAAGGTTTTCCCCACATCAGAATCTCCAAGTCTTCGATTGCAGCTTACGAACTCAATAAAACTCTGAAATGATTTTGCACGGTTGTTGCTCACCAACACATGAACTACAATTTCACATAAACACATTCAATTTGAACAGTTGAGAGTAGAATTTTTTCACCAAAATAAATAGCTAAAAGACAGTGCGAGGCAGTAGGCATGATTGCTTTTTTTTCTGCAGAATGCTTCGCTTCGCTAATCGACAGTAATGACAACACACATCGCTAGTAAGTTTCCTATCTTATCTTGTGAATATGAAAGACTTGACGAAATATCACACAAAGGATTGTTCGTTTAATGTTGTTTAGAACCGAATTATACCTAATCTTTTCCGGCAATTTGCAGACATGTCTTTCTCTTTGAAATATGTTACTGGATCTCTTCTATAAGTTTTAAATAGTCCTGTAGTTATAATACCTCCAATTATATAAAAGTATAATGACTTCGCATCCTGAAAAAGTATAGATTTCACAAATGGAAGTATAATGCATTCGCATCCTGATCACCCGGGTTGACCAAAACTTCTAATCATACAATTTCCATTTATGAAAAACTTCTTGTCATACAATTCCATACAATGCCATACGTACAGAACATTGTATGAAATCTCTATGATAAAGATTTTTCCATAAATGAATATTGTATGATAGGTGTTTTTCCATAAACCAAAATTTTTGATTTTTTTTTTTCAAAATTTAGTTTCTGAAAAGTTTTTGGTTGTGTTCGCAACCGAACACAAGTGACAAAGACCTTGGTTACTCAAAACACCAAAGGTTGGACGGTCTTGCATTTACAATGCATAGCAAACGACCTGAATTTGGATGTTTTTCACAATTGATATAACAAAAGTAACGAACTTTTATTTTTTGGCAAAATTTTTTAATGATGATTATTTCAAATTTTTGAATTTTCAAGTTATCAGACATTGATCAAGGCTTGAATTAACACCCCATACAAAAGAAATAGGAATTTTCAGCGTTTTTGAAAAAAAAATTCAAGTGAAAAGAAAATAAAAGCCAATTTTATCGTATCCAGGACTACGTTATGCACACAAAATATTAAATTTTGCACGCAAAAAAAAATTTCGAAAAATGTTTGTTTGCGTACGAAATTCGATTTGCGGTGGAAAAAAAAATTTTTTGGGCCAAGTTTTCAAAATTACTTGAAAAATTTTTTGTGTCGCCATCAAAAAAATGCCAGTCATACAATTCCCATATATGGGAATTGTATGATAAGCATTTTTTTCAAAAAAACGAGAACCTCAGTTTTTATCACCAGACTGTTTTATAAGAATCAAACATCCACAGAAATAAGTTTATACCAGTTTTCAACCATTTTTAGAAATTGTATGAAAATTGTATGACAAGCATTTTTCCATACACTTGATGTACGGAATTGTATGATAACGATTTTCGGTGTATGGAGGTCAACCCGGGCAAGTATAGGTTTCACAAAATTGTTTTCATTTGCCAATGATTGTTTCCTTAACTTGCATCTAACGACTGAAGCACAAACTGGGGCCGCCAGCAGTTTGCATGCGAATA